CAGTTGATCATCAGTCTTCCCGAGGAGTACGAGACGAGATCACTTGATATGGACGATCTCGTACGGTTGTTGTTGACTGTTATTGGTCATGATCCTTCCATCGTCAGAGCCCAGAATTTCCTATCGCTCCTGAAATTGTTAACACCTGCACTGTACAATGCTTCCAGATCGGCAAGGAGCGTGCTTTGCGATGGTATTGATGCAGTTGGGATGATCATCCTACGCACAGCCGCGAAGGCCAAGCTTCCTGAACCATTGACAATGCACTCGATGGGCGGTTTGACTACGGAGATATCGCAGGAGGAAGGTGTTCTAGCGGACAAGCTCCACGAGAAAGCAAAGGCCCCAAGTGATCTCACTACTATGCGGATAGAATATCTCGGATTGGCGCTCGCTTTCATTAAAGCTGGAGGCCAGCTGCCCAACACTGCCACGGAGAAAATTTTCGATATCGCGAAAATTCTCCTGCGAGAAGCATCGCACACAGAAGATGAGGTCGTTGATTTCCTATGCCAATATTCCAAGGCCAGTCTCGTCGAACGTACACCTAGTTCCAAGGAAGCAATTGCACTTCTCGAGAACCTCGCTCCTATCATGAACGCCTATGCGTCGGCTATTAATTTTGCTGGTGTTTACGAAGCCATATCTCATTTGACTTCCAACAACCAATTCACCAACGACATCATGTTCTCCAATTTGGTGGTGACGCAGATCTGCAGGTGCGGGTTAGAGTCTCAAGCGGCTTGGAGCTCTGAGCGTTCTATGGTTTCGCTCCTTGCCACAGCCATCTCCTTTCGAAAGGCAGACGTGATTGCTGAGATCGAGAAACAGCTCCCATCACATAAATTCTTGTCTGGCGTCGTTTTCAAGCTCGTTCTTTCGCTTGAAACGTCTGCTTCAGCGTCACCGGTGGGAGACCATGACGCGTGGCTGCGTGCTACTCGCACTAGTGCATGGTTGCGGCTTCTTTCCTACGCGATGGCGGCTTGTGAAAAACCAGGCCAATCCCAACAATTGACCTCGCTAGAGCGAAGGAAATCTGACGATAGGCATCGTTCTGGATCATCAAATAAAGAACAGGTCTTGACGCTGGTGGCTGCAATTCAAATCATCAAAATGATCATCGTGAGAGCTGGAGATGACCTTTCTGCGTCCTTGCCCTCAATATGGATTCGTCTTGCTGCTGTCTTTAGATCTCTGGTTTGTGATGGAGATGCACGGTTTGCCTTCGAATCCTCTGAGCAATCTGCGCCACCTTCCCCCATCCATTCACCTCGCTCGAGTTCTAGTATGACTTCAGTTGATCCTTTCAATGTACAGGAGTCTTTCCTCACACCGTCGGTATCCTTTAACGCCCGCCGCCCGTCTCCTCCCCCGGGTAAACCACGAGTCATCGACTACGTGCTTTGGTCTCTCCTGGAGCTCCTTTCTCGCTACCGCACACCTCTCATACTCCAATTGAAGTTGCTCGTACAAGAAAAAGTCGCTGTTCTTGACGAGCAGCTCCGCTGCTCCCAAAACGGTTCGCATCACTCTTCTGGAAATAGGTCCCCGTCTGTCTTCTCTAAGCCGAGGAAGAGATTATCAAGCATGCATTCCGCGTTATCGCCCTTCATCATCAGTTCTCCATCAGCTTCATTTAATACAGGCCATATGTCGCTACATCCCCCTATACTAGAATCCACGCCACGCAAGGCAGGGTTTGAGCGCAGTCCAAGTGCATCACCAGTCAGTGCACAACCGCGCATCGTTCACCTTGGTCCTATAGCACCAGACTTGTGTCGCTCGGCATCGTCCAGCCAGGATGTGCGTACGTTGACGATGTCAACGGTGGTGAAATCTTCGTCTCTCGTGCGTGCCACATACCGCCGAATAAGGCTTGTGCAGGCATGCATGGGGTATAGTTTGCTGTTGCCACTGCCCGCAGCGTTCGAAAGGCACATGTCAGCTGCACTTGAGAGTGCTGGCACGATGGATGATACGATCGGGCTTGGAGGACATTTAGAAGAGGGAGGAGAAAGGAAGTGGTCGACCAAGCAGGCGGTTGACGCCCTCTTGGATGAGATGCATGATCTGGAGCTTGAGTTTCGTGAACGGGAAGCATGGAGGGAGGTATTGGACGATAGCCTAGTGGGTTTGCAGCCCGATGTGAACGATAGTAGCGTATTTCAAGACGCACCACCGATAGCAAACTGACTGTAATAATGATATCCATGTTTTTGACAACGCGCTTTACAAGACTGCAAACTTTTCTGAACTACATGTGTGCGGGTATCTTGATATATTACATAGTAGCCATACAAGAAAGCACTTATAAAAACAGAGACAATTTGAACAAGCTTCGACATCACCTGGTGTCAGCTTACAATACCAAGCCACCGAGGGCGAGCGCCACCGAAATGCCGAGCCACATGCTCATCGCACTAGTACTCATGCCAATCAAGGCAGGCGCGCCGTTAATCATCGTGCTGGCATTCGAGAACGCGATGCTGGGCGTGTCCAGCGAGGAGTTGGCACCGTACACGTAAGATGTGTCGGAGGCACTGGGAGTGGTGGGATCGTTGCACTGTACTGAGACGGACTGGAAGAGCGCGTAGAAGTGGCCTGCGGAAAAAAATTAAACCTGTAGGGGGGTGGAGGGCGAGGCTCAAAAAGACGTACCAGCAGCGACATAGTCAGGGTCGTTCCAGTTGATCATGCCTCCGGCCCATTGAACCGTGCCTTGAGGCTCGGTGGAGATACCGGCCGGCCAAATACTACAACGGATGTATCAGAAATGTCTCCCCATAATTTTGAACCATGAAGAACCGCGTAATAGAGGAGAAAGTTGTAAGTGTTGAACCATATCAACTCGATACCTATACCCAATACCCCAAAAGGAAGCGTGGAATGAATGAACACCAACCTCAACTGGATGCGACTGGGTGTGGTAGGGAACTGGACCGCGCCCGTCGCGTTGTTCGTAGCCTCAACAGGCGTAATAATGCGCGTCACATTTCCGTCCACCAAGAAGGTCAGCGAGTCAGGTTGCCAGTCGATCTAACGGAGAGACGAAGTTAGCATATTCTTCGAGATAAGAGACCGAAAGGGCAGTGATGGAATTGAATTAAAGAGGCAGATAGTCTTCGACACCGACTATCAGGCGGCATTTCGAGGAGAGAATATACATCACGAATAGGGCAAAAAGATTATATACAACTAAACTGTTCGACTGAAATCGCGTGCGCTTTCGTTGCTCATGAACCGAGCTATAAAAGCGTACGCACCGAGATAGGAAATCACGCATAAAGTGATTAGTGGATAAAACTGAAGACTTACAGTGAAATCATGCCAGTTGGCATAGGTATCGGTGAGACCAGTCTCAGTTACACCAGCAGTTTGTGTAGCTTTTGATCGCAATGAAACCGGGTATGGGTGGAGAATAGATTGCGTATGGAGGAGAGGTACAACACATCAACACATTCCGCAGGATTGACAGTCATAAGAAACTTACGAATGACTCCCTGCCAGAAATAATTGGTCTGTCCGGTGGTTGTCTGATTACCAGGGAATTCCCAGTCGATCTCATCTTTAATGCTAGACATGGTGATGAATGCAGTAACGACGCCTGCCCAGCGGCCAGTTTGTACTAGGTTAAAAAACAATGTTAACAGATTTAAGGTATCCGAGACAGAAGAGGAAGAGAAAAAAACCAAAGTCACAAGGATAGTGAACGAGAAGGGAATACAAAGTCACAAGGATAGTGAACGAGAAGGGAATAACTACAAAACCTCTTGAAAAAACGAACACTCACATCTAGCTGTGATTTGACCGTAATGCACGTATCTGGTTGAAGACAGAAGAGTACCGCCACCTGTTTCAGTGAGGAGGACGGCAATCGCAGCCTCGCCGTTGGATGTAGTATTAATAATTGATCCTTGTTCCACAACCCAGTCTGTGAAAGTAACAAACAAAAAACGCACATGAGCGAAACTATTGAAAAGTAATTCATTCTAAGAACTGACCATACTCAGAGGCATTCCCATTGAAGTAGGTATAGTTACTGAGGATGCGAGAGGTATCCGAAAGCGTGTACTGAATAATGAATTGTCGTTAGATCCACTCGCGCAAAAGGAGAGCGAAAGAACACACGTTAGCATTCTCACAGAGTGGGCTGGGATTGCATGAGTTGAGAGTGTTAGATGCAAGGGGGTTGCATCCTCCGAGACAGTACTACATATTAACAGAATTGAGTAGCATGTTGAGACGACTAAAATAGGACGCACATATCCATCACCGCAGAACCCGTATTCACCTAAAGGAAGTTTAACAAATTGGTATGAATTTCATGTGACAGAATATGTCGATTATGCGACGCACTGCAACAAGGATACTGGGATGAACATGGGTTCGTTGAATTGCTACGGAGTCAAGTCAACCTCAGAGCAATAAATTTTGTAACGTGTGAACTGACCAAGTGGCACCCTGTTGTGCCGCCTGTACCAAGACAGCAGAAGTAAGGAAAGCAAGTGCAGAACTAGATAAATATATTTGTTTCATTTCACGAGAGAGCGTGGTGGGGAATGAATGGAAAGGAAGTGCAGGAATCCACCCAAAACAAAAGATGAAACGATGATCAACGAATGTACGCCCAAAATAATTTGAAGTACTTTAGTATTCATGCGCTTGTCTCAGTTTTCCTATTGGCTAAAGATCACGTTACTTGCTTACTTGCAAATTCATGTGACCCAACCCCACTAGTATAACTTGCCGTGTTATCAGTAACTAGTAATGTTTGACAGTGCACACACACTGGTTGAGAAACTATGGTGATCACCTGACTAGACACGCATGTCCTGTGGTTGAACACACCTTTGATTGTCATACATAATTTATCTGCTATTTCTGCCCTATGTTCGAATGGTAAGATACAATTTACAAAGTAGAAAGCTATATCCGTGAGCCGTATACGACACATTTACACCAATAATGGAGTTGCCCTGCTGCTGTATGTGAAATGTTTAGGAGATGTCGACGCACGGATCTAACCCAGTCAAGTGCATCAGTGTCTTCAAAGATGTATCGGGGAACCGCGGGACAATGCGGCAAGGAAATTTCTCCGGATGACTGAAAAAACAACAGATCAGCAGACTAGTTACTCTCGTGGATAAATGAGATTCTGCAAACATGGCGAGACCTGTAGAGAACTTTGGAATGACTGGGATGTCCATGCCGTGTTCATCAAGAGCCTTGTGAGCTGAGAATATGGCGAGAAAGCTCGTCATCGCGATCCAGAGTGACGCATCCGCGACATATCGTCCCATACTGACCAGCGGTTTTCAACACAGCCAAGAAGTTGCATAAATGTATGCTCACCAGATCCGGCGACCAAAGCCAAAGCCTAATTGCATCCTGTCACTAGTGAGCGACCCATCTTCATGAAGAAATCTTTCCGGTTTGAATTCATCAGGACTGGGGTACTTCTTTTCATCGTGTGTAAGTGCCCTAAATGTTTGATCATTTCGAGACGTTCAGCATCAAGGAAGCAAGAACTTTCCATGCATTTGTAAATAAAACAACCCCTGACAAACTGGGTCGTCAGCAACCATCGGTCATTCAGCATGGTGCATCCACAAGCCTTTGGGGATGAAGTAGCCTTTGTAAATATCACTGGTCGTTGTTGCGCCTGGGATGCCTGGACAGATTATCAGAGGAAGGACAAAAAAAGGGCGACAGTGAAACGGACCAAATGGAAAGACGGGCTGCCACCTGAGTGTTTCACGCAAAACAGCGTCAATGTAAGGCAACACTGGTCTGTCACTGAAATTGGGGAGTCTATCATTGCCAACGATTTCATCAATCTCTGCTTGCGCTTTGGCTTGTATCTCTGGATTGAGCACCATAGCAAGAATGAACACGCGTAACGTGGCAGTAGTCTAGGCCGAGGACAAGATTATTACCACGGTAAACACAGACCAGGGCGTTACACACCGTTTCAGATGCCCCTAAAGACACAAACAACAATAAGCATCAAGGGGACAAAGTTCTGTAGCTTGGGTACCTGCAAATATTACAGAAGCAGCCTCCTTGACTGCAGTTGTAATGACGGGATCATCTAAACACCTCATCCTGTTCAAAGTATCAGCCACGAAGCAAGGCGCCATGACGCCGGCAGACTATGTACGGTTCGTCAGTTCATTGCACCTCTATGAGTGTCATGATTCACCATTCTCTCTTTGACAATTCGAAAGGGTATCTCCGTCATATCATGGGCTGCCTTGAGACACTCCAGTGATGCTCGCTTGAACGTGGCACCAGGGAACCAGCTGGGTAGCTTCAAAACTAAAATGACCGTTAAGATTTAAAGGCAGATTATCATTACATGTGCGAACATACGGAAAGGGAATGTTTCGAGTATCACAGTAACACCTGGCGTCAAGGCTGCGAGTAGCCGGTCTGCGAATTTTTCCAAGATGAGGACCATGGTATCATCCTGGGCTTTTGTTTCATAACCATATACTGAAGACAGTACAAAGGAAACGGTAAACCTGATAAAAATCAGCTTCAACGGGAACCAGAACAAACTGTTGCACCAACATCTCAAAATGTCTTGAATATTCGCTAGGGTCCTGTAGAATACTAAACAACATTTTGTGGGCACAACGCATTTGTATAGTGTGATAAGCGGGTGCTTTAGCTTGATGAAATGCCTGATGACAGATTCGTCGGTGAAGGCGCCACCTACTGGATTTCAGACACTGGTCAACACAACAGAGAACAGTCCATTACCTGTCTCCATATGGCATAAGCCCCATGTTGGAGTCCGCACCGAAGCTATGACAGCATCTCCGTCATCAATGCGCAGTAGTACTTCAACATGCTGACTTACTGTTCGTAAACAATGGACTGGGGTTTATCCGAATAAATGGTGGGACGCCCTTCAAAGAGGTCTTTCGCAATCTCCTCAGAGTTAATCACAACCACAGGCTTGTTGAGGAGACGAGCATAAATGATGTCGCCTGTAGAAATATGAGTCTATCATAAACAGATCCTCGTCACGATGACTAACCATATGTGGACCTCCAGGCATTGAAGGTCTGCCAAGGCCGAGCGACATCAAGACTCAGAACATTCCCCAGTATTGGGAGGGGCGTAGGACCAGGTGGAAGTGGAGGACCTAATTGCTTGTCCCGATATTTTCGGTAACAGCTGAAGATAGCCAGCACCAAAGCTGATGTGGCCAAGTAAAGTCTGGATCCATCGTCGAGCATGGTAAGATGGATGGTTTTCAAAGGACGCTGGTCGAATTGTACGAGAATATATAGCACTGATCTGAGAATGAATTATGATTATGATCCATGATGGAGCGATAGGAGAATCTTGCTATCATTCAGATCTCACTCGGTTCCTCGAAATAACAAAGTTCAAACGTTCCTGAGAACCAACTCCGCACACCCTCCATGACGGCATTCAAAAGACCCAGACTCTACAACATGATTGCTTCAGCTTGGTGTTGCGGCCACCGCCGAGCGGTAGATAATTTGTGTCGGTGAAACTAGAGAAATAGGTAATGGTGAGGAGGACGAGGACGGAGAGGCCGACAATAAGCGCCTTGGGGATCTGGTGCTGGACCTTGCACGAAGTGCTGGCAGTGGGCACGAAGAAAAAATGTGACGGTGTTCGTGAGCACAAGAGTTGGAAATTTCGGTAAACTTTGAGGATGGTGCACGAACAACAAGTTCAATGAGTAGAACAATGAATGACGACGTTCTTGTACGTGTCAATATCAGTGAATTCTAGGGTATGACATGGAGTGCCGGATCATACATGAATTTCGAGTGTGATTTTGGATGCGAGTCAAATTTCGAATGGAATTGACTCCAAACCGTTAGTGAATAATTAAGAAACGTTAACACTGAGTCATTTATGTCAGACTAGCAATCATTGTACTATGAGACAAACAGCAGCAAGGTGATTTCCGTTGGCGTAAGCACCAAACAAGTACAAACGCGTTCCGACGCGACCTAATAAGCAAGGTTGGTATCATATTTCAAAGGAACCTGAACAGTCAAGATGGCACCTACACCTGCAAAGAAAAAGTCTAACGATAGCATGATGCAGAAAAGCCTTATGAACTTTTTTGCGAAACCTGGCCTGTCAAGTTCAGTTGCAACAGCAAAGATTCAGAACGCGACCAGCGCGACGCCAGCGCGAGAAAGCTCCACTTTACCAGGGACTCAAACTTCCTCTGGGTCGACAAAGACTTCCTTGGCTGCTAAAACAAAACCAAAATTTACTCCCAAGACACCAGACTCAAGACCATCTTCCGACATCGATATCGATGCAGAGAGCGGCATGGAGACTCCACCGACCTCGGACCCCATTCCTATAGATGTCGACATGTTATCAGATGATGAGGACGCGTCGGTCAAAAAGAGTGCTAATGTGAGTGTTCTAAAATCACTTTCAAAGTGTTGTGCGACTTTTTCTGACAGTTCAACTTCCCTTGCCGTACAGACGCGCCTAACGAAGCGCAAGCTTATTCTAGCCGACTCCGATGAGGAGGACGAGGCTCTTTTAGGGAAGAGCACGACACAAGCTACATACCGCACCTCATCCCTCGAATATCATGACAAGTCCTCTCCTTCACGCGGACACGCGAAGAAACCGCGTATCGCGCCTACACCCTCGGTTCCCACTTCCGATGAGGAAGACGACGAAAACGCAGACGTGCGCTCGCAATTCTCATCGCGCTTGACCAAGTTCCGCAAGTCACCTGCCAAATGTGAGTAGCTGCATGTTCAACCCCAGATTTATCTGAACATGAACAGCATCTAGGAAAAAATCAAGAGCTTCCGATGACGACGACTTTATTGCCCCTGACTCTGACTCAGAACATGAGCGTTCATCATCACGCGCCTCTTCGCGTTCAAAGTCGTCCAAGTCTGCCGCCTCAGACGACCAGTCTGGTGAGGAGTCAGATGTCCCCATAAAAAAATCCGCGAAGTCAAAGCGTCCGTCCCCGAAAAATTCTGGGAAAGCTGGCGGTGATAAAGGAAGCGGGAGTGGACTGGCAGGAAACACTGCGTTTTTGACGAAGGCAGAGCGGCGCACACAAGAGAAGAAGACCGAGAAAAAAGCCACCGAGGATCCGTTTTCCTTTTTAGTTGATGTGCGGGATGTGAGTCGTCCTAATAGTTTCGTTCCAAGGAGATACATCACCATGTTTCTCAATGCCCCACAATTTTTTTTTTTTTTTTTTTTGGGGGGGGGGAAGCATAAATACACGGAAAACTCTTACATTTTTCCTTCGATTGCATGGATACATGTGACTTCATCTTCCTATTCTCTTCTCCAGTGCCGTCCAGTAGTTTCATATTGCTGATACAGTCCACAGAAAGATGGTGTTCGCCCTGGCGAGCCTGGATATGACCCGCGCACGCTGTACATCCCGAAGAAATCATGGACAGACTTTACGCCTTTTGAAACACAGGTGCGGCTGTTCTTTTGCGTTTATTTTGACGCTTTTTCGATGTTTCTACACAGTTTTGGGAGGTACGTGGGGATGTAATGGTTTATGGAGGTGTCCTTGACCCTCGTTATTTCTACAGATCAAGCAGGATCACTTCGACACTGTATGTGTTAGTCCAGTTACATTTGAATCGTGCTAACGCGTGTATTTTCCGCTAGATTTTGTTTTTCCAGAAAGGGTGTGTTCCCCGTTCGTTCCCTTCATACTGATGTTCATGGCCATTCCGCTTGTAGAAAATTCCTAGAGGTGAGCTAGAGGCATTGTAATTTTCAAACCTGTGTGCTCACCCACACCTAGCTCTATGAAGATGATGCACGGATCGGGCACCAGGAGTTTGACTTGAAACTCACTCGGCGCGTGAAGATGTCCATGGTGGGTTCCGCTGCCTCGTTTCCCTTTGGACCACTGATGCACGACTTGTTAGGTCGGTGTACCTGAAATGAGCTTCAACTTTTGGGCTGCGTGAGTCCATTCCTCACAGTTGTGATCGATTGCTCATTAAGTCCCGCATGCTAGTAAATTCCTCGGAAAGGGTATGTATATGTTGATGTTCTCCGCACTAGTAGGTTGAGCGCAAAATTTGGATACAGGATATAAAGTCGGCCGTGTGGATCAAGCAGAGACGGCGCTTGGCGCTGAGATGCGCCTTGCAAAGGACAAGGGTAAGAAGGGTGCTGGCGGAAAAGATAAAGAGAAGATTGTCCGTAGGGAGCTCAACAAAGTATACACAAACGGCACGCTTGTAGACGAGGACCTCCTCACAGATGAGCAAGCGGGGCATTGTATTTCCCTGCGCGAGTCTGCAGACGGGAAGGATGGCATGAGCAGTTTCGGAGTCTGCGTCCTGGATAGCGCCACGAGCCAGTTTAGCCTAAGTGCATTCGAGGATGATGTATGCACAACGAAGTTGGAGACGATGATGAGGCAGCTGCGGCCAAAGGAAGTGATCTTCACCAAGGTCGGTCTGATCGTCTTTACGTTATTCAACTTTCCAGAATGATTATATCTGTTGTAATAGGGGAATCTTTCTGTGCAAACGACGCGTCTACTGAAGTCCGTCCTCCCCGGGTCTTGTTTGTGGACCAGTCTCCGGGACGTCGAAGGATTTACTTACCCGCAGACGATTAACGAACTGAATAGTATGTTTTCTGAGGCTGATACTGGAGGGGAAGATACGATGGATGAGGACGCCGAGTTATCGAGTGCTGTCCCACAGAGTATTCGGGACATGGCGAGTTACCGTGCCGCGATGGAGGCTCTAGGCGCGCTGATGTGGTGAGTATCTGACGTCCCAAGGATAATGCAGAACATGAATGCTAGGTCTAAAAATAGGTATCTCCGTCAGCTGAACATCGACAAGGACCTTCTTACGATGCGGAACTTTGACGTCTATGATCCAATGAAGAGAGGAACCAATGTTGTGCTAGATGGGCAGACGCTTGCCCACGTTGAGGTGGGTGTCATTCCGTCATTCATTGTTCTTCCCGCCAGGCAGTGATTGATGTGGTGGCGCAGGTTCTACTCAACAATGAAGGTACAGAAGATGGATCGTTGCATAAACTCCTGGGGAGATGCATCACGCCGTTTGGTGGGCTTTGCGTTTCCATTTCTTCCAGAAGGTATTGAATCGCCATGCAGGTAAACGACTGTTTAGGATCTGGCTGTGCGTTCCTTTGCGGGAAGTTAAAGATATCAATGCACGGTACGGCATTCCTTAAGGTTAAAGAGATCGTGATAGTACTAATACAATCTCCCGCAGCTTGGATGCTGTGGAGGACCTCATCTCACACGCAACTTTTGAGCAAGAATTTACCGAACTCGCAAAAGGACTCCCCGATCTGGAGCGGATCATTTCCAGGATTCACGCAAATAACTGCAAGGTTAAAGATTTTGTCAAAGTGTTGGCAGTACGTATCTTCCCGTGCAAAATAATTTTGTATCGTGGGCGCATCAGATCCATGGATCAAGATGTGGACCGCGTTTGATGCGTGGGCATCTGGCCTTCTGAACCACCCTGCTTGATATACCATTCTCAAGATCTGTGCAATCTCTGATGTTAACTCCCTTTCGCTTCCTAGGCCTTCAAGAAGCTTAGCCGCGGCCTTGCGAAGCTCGCCGACAGCTCTGAGTCATTCGATTCGAAGACGATCCTCGGACTTTTGAGATCAGCACCGGATCTGACTCCCAATCTGAAGAACGTAGAATCGCGGTTTACTATGGATAAAGGTATGTAATGCCATGTCTTTCATAGATCACTCTCTTATTGTTCGTTCCTTGCTACTAATAATAATATTTTAGAAACGGATGAGCTGCTCCCTGTTGCAGGCAAGGATGAGGTGTATGATGAAATTATGTGTGAAATTGAGGAACTTGAGAAGACGCTAGACACGCAACTCAAGAAGTTTGAGAAAAAGCTTGGGTAGGTTCTTACTTCTCGAGAAGGCGGTTTGCGCTGATAAGTTTGATATAGGCGCAATCTTACGTGGTGGCACAGCGCTCAGGGGAACAAAGTCAGGATTCGCTTTTGTCGTAATAACTGATATTCATTGTTATATCTTCTGGTAGGAGATCTATCTCGTCCAGACGAAGGCGAACGAGAAAGAAGTCCCTAATGACTGGGTCAAAAGCAGCGGTACCAAGGTGGGTTAATCAGGATGCGCCATGAGAACATGGCTTACTGTTATACGTCAGGCAGCTACCCGTTGGATCGTGCCTTCCCTTCAACCGACAATCCGAAGTCTCAAGGAAGCACGCGAGAACCGCTCAGCGGCGGTGAAGTCCTTCAGAGGACGTCTGTATGCCGAATTCGATACCGACCGGGGCACGTGGCTCCGCGCCGTACGTGTCCTTGCCGAACTTGACTGCCTCTTCAGCCTCGCGAAGGCATCTGTCGCGATGGGCGAACCAAGCTGTCGGCCTGAGTTCGTGGAAGGCGATGCTGCCTTTATCGAGTTTGAAGAGCTGAGACATCCAACACTAGCGAGCTTGCGGGAGGGCTTCGTTGCGAATGACGTCAAATTGGGCGGCGATCTCGGTAGGATTGCGCTGTTGACAGGTCCGAACATGGGGTTAGTCAGAATCGTCTTTTTGGTATGCGATTACTTACATCGTATGATGCGTAGTGGAAAATCCACAGTGGGTGGTTACACAGCCCCAGTGATTTGTTTTCATTGTTTTTCTTAGGTCATGCGCATGACAGCCACAGGTGTCATCATGGCGCAGTTGGGCATGCTTGTTCCCGCCAAGTCAGCTCGGTGAGCATTTGTTGTTACCTTTTTGACAAGATGCATTCACTGACGCCAATGCAGACTCTGTCCTATCGATGCTATTCTCACGCGGATGGGCGCTTATGACAACATGTTTTCCCATTCAAGCACGTTCAAAGTTGAACTAGATGAGTGGTGAGTGATGTCCCTAACTTGGCATCTCAGTTACAAACGAGGAGTAGTTGCAAGATCTTGCGGGATGCTACACCTAAATCGTTGGTAATCCTCGATGGTATGCTATCTTCCCTTTTAAACGGATTTCCGGCTGACCCACATTCGAGAATTGGGAAGAGGTACTTCTACTTATGTAAGAGACGACGCCCCTTTCTTCGCGACTCACTATTGATGGTTCTTTTTTCAGGACGGTATGGCAATCGCTGGAGTATGTCTCACTTGGATATCATGGGATTTTCTGATTATGACCTTGTACGACACCAGGCTGTCCTCCATGAAATCGCCACCCGCACCCTTCCGCTAGCATTCTTTGCAACACATTATGGTTCTCTCACCGATGATTTTGCCTATCATCCAAACATCAGGAACATGCACATGTCTACCATGCTTGACGACGAAAAACATGAGGCAAGTAAGCTGTATACCGTGGGTTGCTGGTTGATTAACACTTCTGCAGCTTGTCTTTCTGTACAAGTTGGTTGATGGTGTTGCATCTTCGTCCTTTGGCACACATGTAGCCAAGCTCGCAGGCGTACCCGAGGAGGTGATCAAACGCGCCGAAGTCGTCTCTCAGGATTTCGCGAAACAATTCAAAGCCAAGATTGACGACCGAAAGAAAAAATCTCTGGCATCCAAGCTACCTTTGGTCGCTCAAGCAGACTTTACTTATCTTTTATCTCTTGCCATGGGTAATTTGAAGCTGCCAGACGATCCGTTCAAGCAACGAGAACTGCTCAATGGACTGAAGCAGGCCGTGCGTTCGTATGTCAGTGCGTAGTTTGCGTTGTTCATTGTTTTCGATATTTGCTTTCTTTATACCCCCACTACTCAATAGCATACATTGCTCGTATATTACTTGACACCCAGCACTACCAACACTGTCATTTCTCGTTATGCATTCACTTTAACGGACATTGTTACATGCACAACATAAATCAATTTTTCGGTGCATCGTAAGCCCGCTGGCTTAAGTACTAAAGTTCCCATAGTCTACATAATTGCTGTCTAAGATACTGAAACACAAGCTTTCAGTATCACTGCCTTTTGGCGTGACGGTTAAGCGGACAACAGTCTTGACAACTTACATGCATATAGGGAAGAGTGGCAGTGCCGGACACTTTGACTTAGATGTTTACCAACACAGTACAGCCGAACATCATCTCTCTATTCTCTTCTACGAGTAGCGAACCTCTTTCCCTGTTTTCACAGCAGACAGATGAGTCTCTTGCTGCCGATTCGTTCATCCATTTTCTCAATGATGCGTCATCGCTACCACCTCCGTCTCCGCCTGCTGTTCTCTGCTCGATGCCGGCACTCGATGATCGTGATGAACTAAATATTGGCTATGGCCTGTATCAGACTGTCCTTCATATCCAGTCCCCAACTCTCCGGATGACTTTCATCCGGTCTCCACCTATTACAGATCCCGGTGACAGGGATTTGGGCTTAAAGCATAAATGGCTTCATTTGCAAGTCCGAAACGTGGGCAGGGAGTGGTCTTTCGACATAGGTATCGTCGACAAGTCAGGGAGGCGCGGTGTAGTTCGCTGTTCAACATTTCAGGTGCATGACGTTTATGATTTCCCCCGTTCTTCAGAATCGATCTTCGATGCAGACCATAGTGTAATATATGCCCATCTACTGACATCTTCTTATCAGAAGGAACCCAAACTTGCAATATCTCCTGTTCCGAATGCGCAACCTGTCCTTCATCTACCTCTTTCATTTCCACAGCCCTCGTCTCGTCCCTTGACAGCATGGTCCACAATTACGCTTAACCTTCCGTCCTTGATACCCCACTTTAGCACACTCGCTGGCATGCATCAGCTCGATGACGGCGAAGGCGGCCGCCATGACATCAATCGTCCAGTAACACTTTCAGCGATAAATACCCCTGTCCCTAGTGGGACATATTCGCACTTGTCGTACATCAAGATTTATGCGACATGTCGTTTACGAAGAATATGGTTAAGTGATCTTCTCTCAGACTCCCAAGTGCCATGGGAATTTGAACTATATGGGACTTAGATGGATTATGTGGTTGCGCAGTCATCTGTTAGATTGCGCGATGATGTGGTGAGCCCAATGTGAGACGGGTGACCGAGTCTAGTGATGATAACACGTTTCCTAGATATATGCTTTATCTGTGTTAATCACAAAGCGTTGTATATTTGGTGTTCTTGTTCTGCACCGATGGTCATCATTCTCGATTGTACTGAAATGGGCACAATGACAATACAACGACCTGCATCTGATGACATGAATCAAGGGAAAAATCAAGCGTCCTAGTTAGACTGATTCAGGATACTTGTCGGTTACGGATCTCTTCGGTCCGGTCCACCCGTAGCACAAGGGTGCTGTTGTTGTGATAGTTGTTGTGCTTGTATCCGACATGCTATTATCTGCGCGCGATGACATTGTGCATTGACATCGATCAACTTGAATGTCTATCAGATATGGTGCTTCTGCTTACAATTTTATCTTCATCAATTGTTGTGCGAGTTGCTGCGAGGCACAACCCTCGCAGTCATCTTTTAATCGCCCCTGCAGCTGTGCTGCCAGATATCTCTGGCGTACAGGATACCGCTGGTGAGCCCCGCTAGCCTGGCCCATCCCACGATTGCATTCACATAGGCGTCTCATTGCATCTCTGCGGCAGCAAAATATAGATCTGCACGTGGTTTAAAACGATGTGACGACATCAAGCGCGTTTCAATAATTTGAGTTCCCCGACAGAAGCCTGTAGGTTAGGTTCTTGCCTCCTGGCGAGCTCAGTCTTGCCGCGTATGTAAAAAAGGACTCGCCCGCGAATGAGGTATACAACACCTGTCTTTAACCAAAACGAGATGCGTGCGTCGCATTCATTATTCTGTACGTTTGTCCTTGCGTAACAGAGCTGTGGCAAGAACGTGGCGGACTAGGATGTTCATGGATGACCCTGAGGTAAACCTCCGGATTCAAGTCTGATATCGGACAAGGTTCTTGAAGTTATGACTAACTTACGCTGATAAGTATTAAACTCAATGTCGCTGAGTTTGAATTTCAAACTTTCCGCCACGCAGCAACACCAGAAGGTCAACTCATCTAGAACAAACCACAGTGGCGGATGGCACTGGCATCGGAAATTAAAGGTGTGCTCTGCAAATAATGGATGGGGGCCAGATTACGGAACAAAGCAGAGTGGAATACGGCACACTGAAGCTTAATATCACTGCCACAGGTAACAAATCTGATTCCCGTTGGCAATGAATATTGATTGTTGAGTAATGACAGATGCTCTCAGTTAAAATTGTAGGAAAGGAAGGTTTGCCTGCTCACCACATCGCGGCATTAACGCTGCTTGCTTACCACTCACAGGTTAATAGTAACCTCCTTGGGATCACCTGTTTCTACCAGCGCTGTTCCTAGCCAAATCGAAAGATGCGAGATTGATCTGAGCGACAAGAAAGGTATGTAAAATGCAACCTGTGATATGATGAGATTGTAATAAGATCTTGTAGTGGTTGAACTAGGCTGGTTGTGCTCTCGTTAGCCGCTTCAAGTTGCCCGATGACAGATCTCCTAACGAGGTTATCCTCATGGATAATGTTCAGCGGAGGTAACCGATTTTATCTTATTCCGAGATGTCACGTCCACTGTGTAAGCTACAAATGGAAACGAGACACAGCACAACTCCTGTCAGTAAATTGATAACGCAGCCCTGATCTATCACTAATCCCGCTGTTTGTCAGTTGTCTCTCTCGGCTGTCCATCTGCCAGTGGCAGGCCGCAGTCATGACGTTGTCGTCCTATCAGACCTGTTGCACTCCGACGGTTCTCACCCCGTCCTAGTCACGACACTAGCGTCAAGTCCGCCGATGCCCGGGTGCACATCCCTGCGTGGAAGTGCACTTCCTGACATTGGAAGCGGGGATTGACTGGGTGGAGTGCACGGAGGCCTCAGATGACCCACAGAAGCGCGTTTAGAAAGGCACGCTGAAAGGGAGTGGGCTAGTCATTTGTCTCCTCTTCTATTAGCTAGTACGTTCTCTCGACATTGACGGGGCGTGTCCCTGCAGCTGATTGAATTTATCTAAAGACGGGACAATGACTTGGAGCGCTTTTGCATGTGATCATTTCCGTAATTTGAATATAATATTTTATTTTAGTGTGAATCTACGTACAAGTAATTTACGTGAATGAAGATGTACTCTGATCAAGAAATTACTGAATTCCGCTACCACATGTTGCGTAATGACCTCCTTGTGCTTTATTTGCGTTTTAGCTTCAATATACTTAATCTTCTTCTGCTCCTGGCCATGTGTTTGCGGGGAGCCATCGCGCCCACAATCCTAACATTGCGTTACTTCGTTAAAATTAAAAACTTATTTGAACTCAGTGACCCCTCCGAGACCGAGATATTGCGAGCCCGAAATCATTCCCGTTCTTCAATCAATAGTTTATGATGAATAATATCGTACAGTGGACATCCGCTGTAGCCTCATTGGTATGATGGTATGTAGTATAAGCCGCCAGTATATTAATCAAGGAAGCTGGGGCTGGTAAGCCAAACAACAAAAAGGGAATAGAAGATCGAATGCACGAAGAGTAAACGAACAGACCCAAACTTGACAAAGCGTAGGTGAATTGAGTGAATTAACACAGTTAACACCTGTTTATCTCCCCCTTATCGGCGATTGCTCGATAGCCCAAGAATTATGACGCGAATCAAGGCGAGCCCGGGTAGCCTCCACCGGACATGAGTCATGTCATTGTCGCATGTCAAATGCATTGCGCAAAATGTGGTGCCGACAGTCGAGGTGGCCGCGTGGACCATGTGGCACCCTTGTTGGGAGATCATGGCACCTTCAGTCCTCCGTTATTCTCACCACCTACGGGGGATGACACCATGGCAGTCACTGACGTGACGGTAGCTCCGTTTGACGCAGTGGACTCAGTTAGCAATAATGCAGCTTTTGGAATGGTGGCAAGTAATGGTGGGGGACTTGAGATACCTGTGGACGATCCAGAGTTGATGGATACATTCCAAGAGTACCGGTGATGGAAACTTTTCTTCTTCCGCACACTCGCTGAATAAGCGGCTCGCATCGCTTGTGTAGCATCGCTAGTATTGCTTGCGAGACTTGATGACGAACTACGCGGAGCAGGGGCGTAAGACGAGCATACGGATGGCACGGGGGATGCAGGGGGTGAAAGGGATGGGAATACCACTAGGGGATCGACGTGAACATCAGAGCCAAAATCCGATGATGATGAGGAATCTGAGGGCGGATATGTAGAATGCCACTCGCCGGAGGTAGGAGGCTCGTCAGCTGTAAGAACGAATGCGGGGAGAGTGAGGGGAAAGCAAGTGATGAAATCTTCAGGAGGGCGAAGGGATGGCATGACTACAGGAGAATCTTCTGCAGATGAGGAGGACAGAACTTCTTTGCGGGCCACCCACATGGCTAAATTTGTAGTGCACTGACAAGCGAATATCTCCATTTCTGGAACAGTAGACATATTAGGCGCGTAAAAGGGCAGCAGCAAAACGCAAAATACCAGGAACAGCTTGTGCAACAAGGTCCATGAGTGGCTTGGCGTATGAACCGATGAAAAATATTTGTCCTCGGACTTGGTCTAGTTGGCATTCGGAAGGCGTGACGGATGGAGGTAAACTCCAGCGCTTCTCTAGTGATGCTTGATAGGTCCATTCAGCCATCAAGGCATTTGCCCAGTAATGCGAGACGCCGGGCGGTCGACTCTACACCACATACAAGTTAGAATTATATAGAATATATATGGAAAAAAAACGAACAGGATTGCTGATGTCCGCACACTTTATTATTGCCTGGCAAAGCAGTAATCGGCGCCGATCCAAAGAATATTCTCTACCGTCCACAAGTGATTGAAAATCTCTGATGAATTGATAGTGGACACTCATGTCCGTAGCCAATACGATACCAGCAAGCATTTTCCTAAAACCGCAGTCTGGTCGATCCAAGAGTTTCCCCAGGCCATGGTGCCGCATTGCTTGTATGAGGAGGGCACAGTGCATCTGTTCAAGAGCTGACTTGTTGTCATACACGTCGGATAACGGCGCCTTGGCATTTTTCTGTGGATGGATGTCAGTTGGTATTTTTTTGCAAGATGCTGTGCAGATCAATCATACCATGAACATATTTGTCAATCCGGGATGACCTACATCATGGCCAATGGCAACAATGTAGAGAGCAAAAAGACATGTGTTGCTGAGATCGAATGCGAGGCGTCGTTCCTTCCCCAGTTTGTTTGGTCTCCATGTGCAGTTGTCATTATCCAACAATATAGACACTGGAGGTACGACACCTGCTGCACACAGGAAGGCCTGGGAGGCCTGCATCACATCTACAGCATGCTGAAAATTATGATAACTGTTATGTCCACAGTATAGGGGCTGCAGATGTTTCAAGAACACGGAGATATCATCTGTCGGAGTGATAAGAGACGTCGTCACATGGAGACAAAAATGATGCTGACCGAGGGAGACGCCTATATCCTCTCGCATATGCTCAATTCGGAACAGACTTTCAAACAAAATTTGCGCGCAGAATAGGACTTCCTCCTCGGGTAGGTTCTGCGGCTCGAAATGCCAACTATCGAGAGATTTGATGAGGTGGGCTCGCGTATGGGCAGGTATCACGATTGGAGAGCTGATGAAGGGATCGGTTAAGAGATTTAAGTGTGACAGAGAAGGACATTACATGTCATGTACATGATGGCTGACGGTAGTCTGGGTGTGGTTGTACATATCGCTAAGTAGTTCGGCATAGCTATTATCAAACACTAGTAAGAACCCTCGCCGATCAAAAAGATACGAGATTATGGCTTACCGAGTCTCTCCTTGCTCATCCTCTTCCCATCCACCCCACCCATGACCCAAGCCTTGGTTTTCGAGTGCAAGCGCCAAACCGCCGACGTCGACGCTCCTTCGACGTCCATGAGAGTATTCTTCGTTATCAAGCATGAACGAGCTGAACTTGATGGCGATGGCGGAAAATAAGGAGCAGATATGAAGTACTTAAAGAGGTGGCAAGTGATATATGTTGCTGACAAGACTACCTACCAATAGCTCGGATTGCTTCGCTCGCGTGGTCGTGGTTGTTTTGACAGATCTCGTGGCCATCGGCTCTCGTGGCTCTCGCGTGGCGGATTTTTTAATTCTCCGCCAAATTCTCGGTCCGATTGCCCGAACATGCCCTTTTCTGCCCCTCGAGTCCTTGTTCAAGGAAAAACTATAAGCCCCTCTTTCGTTCCTGCCACCACCAACCGCTTTACCGCATTCTCTTGGATCTGACCTTATAGCACATTTTTTCCATCTGCAAGGACTTGTTTCCATAACGGGAACAACACCTGGTAGAGACACGTTGACAAAGACTCCTCGGAGTTCGTGATACAAGAGAGGGAACACGCCTAGTACTCTGACTTTAGGGTACTCCCTGACATCGATCTCAAAGGAATGCTTGCTTCTCAAGAAGCAGCCAGCATGAAGAAGAACTGCGCCCGCGCTCGATACTGGGCCAGAGGGTATTGAGGTGTGGGGAAAAAATTATGTGCGCGTCTACGACTAAACAGTTGCTTTATTAACAGTCGACGCCTGCGACTTTCAGTCCTTTTTGTCGGCATGTCAGGCGACATTACTTGCGAAAAGTTAGTCAGTGAGACATTTACGGCATTCGTTAAAAACGCGAGATAACCGACGATGGGGCAGAATATTTCGATCCTAGGATATCCGACCGTCCGACCCGAAAAATCCAAGACTTGAATATACAACTGATCGTCCAGATTGCCCGATGTGACCGCTTCACTTACCGTTGGTGCTAGAAATAAATATCCTCTTTCAACCTTGGTCTCGTCACTTTTCGATCAACTGTAACTCATGTTTTGGCTCACCTTTGTCCAGATTTCGGCAGCATATCACCACCCTCTTTATTGCTCACAAATTGCCACCGAGGTATGTCTCTTCGTTTATTTCACCAATAGCTTTTTTGTTGAACGACCTCAGGCGACCTTGTGGCTCCTTGTGCCCCCCTTTTTTGAATGACATATATCAGCTGTAAGCAACTCCGTTGGTAATGATTACGATCTTCTTGGCTGGCCTAGACTCTATCATCGTCCGTTGCATTAACGGCTACCTGCCTGTAATAGCAGATCGCATCTTTATTATCGTGAGTGTTTCGAGGCACTGAATCACCAGCGATCTGGCGTATGTCATTGACATCTATGGGCCGCTAGTTCTACGCCACTGTTCACACGACATGACGAACTGGCTGACTTCGCGTAAAGTCGTGCTGATAGTTAGGCATGCAAGGTAACTTGTTGAGTTACCGAAGCTTATTGGGGAGTGAGTGCAACGCCCTCCGGCTTTCCTCGTCCTCTCTGGCTTCGTCGCAAGTCCTCGAATCTGTGGGGTGGGTAGATACCCTCCCAGATTGCAGTTTAGCTTGTCTGTAACTGACTCCACTCTATTTTAGGTGTGGCTCCGTACCTTTAAGAAGCGTTGCAATGTCCCATCTTTTCTCCCTGAACTTCTAGCTTTCTGTGCCTTCTATGTCATTCTCGAAATCACGGAGCGCGTGTTGTGTTCAATTTCAGTGCCACCCCAGATCTTCATGGGCTTCAATGAGGATGTATGACCGGTCAAACAGTCTTCGAACGCACACCATCAAACTATCGCAGGTGTCTAGAATTCAACGCAGCGGCAAGCGGCGATACCGCTCCATCGAAGCTTGATAGAAGATCGCTGAATAATTCGGCACCAGACGCTCGGTACACAACTCTGAAGACTCACCGCAATCCCTTTCAACAACGAATTAGTCCAAGCTTACGCCCCACGTTGCAGAACACGCCGGCTTCGCAACTTGGGACCCTTGACGGGTGTCAATCTTATTTGTTGTCCCCGTGGGGCGTAGCCCTATGTCAGCGGTCAGTCCATGTTGTATTGTTTCATGTGCTACATGGCTTGACAAATAACCAATGCTCGTGGGAGTCCGTTGGGCCTTAGGTCGACCGGTCAGAAGTTAAAAAAAACGAGGGTTCAACATTAGTCGCTCTCTAAATCATTGCGGCCGCATCGACCGATCTACCCCAGGTTCTAGATGAGTCGGAGTGCACCGCCTTGGAACGCGTTGATGCTTCCGAGTCAATGTTTGTGTGAATAAGTAGTCAGGGATACATAGTTACATAGTAAGTCCGTGTGCTTCTCCGCTGTTATGATTGGCGCTGGGACCGTTCCTTTTCTGAAATGCAATACTCTGTTGGAGAGTGAATATAGGAGAGAAATTCTTAGTAGTATGAACTTGAAACCTTTACCAAAATGGTCGTTCTCACGAGCGCGTGGTGCCGTACACACACGGAGAAACGGACTTGACGACAGACGGCGGCATGAACAACACGACATGCATACATTACGATACGCAACGCAGATATTTATAATTTCAATTTTATGAATGAAAATTAATCTTACACCACCTCATTGTCGGTTCTGAGCTAGTCTGGACTCTATGGTGCATATCTTGGTCTGGTTGGGCACAGGACCCTTAGATCAGGGTTCGCCACACGGCGAGAGGATCGGTTTTGAGTCGTGAAGCGAACTAGCCATGCTACTAATGGTACGGTGGCGGAGATACTGCTAGTATGAAGTGACGTGAAGCATGTCAAACACGGGTGCGTGCTCCGGTGACGACAAGTACCAATTGAATTACGGTGTGCGATCAGGACAAGATGAACAATAATTGCGATATTTGTGTATCATATCATAGGTATCGTATGATTTTGCAGAGTATATTACATGCGTTCCAACCTGCCAGAAATTTGATTTGAAGTTCTGTCCGTGAGCGAAGAACGACCCAAGACAATAAGGATGATCAAGAACAAGAAAATGCGACAGTGTAAAGTAAAGACGTGAGGAGCAAAGCAAGGATCAACCACTCTGGCAACCTTTAGATGGGATAGATCGGCCATCGACAAAGTGCGTAAAGGCTGCGACAGTGAAAATGTTACCCAAAACTTGAGCGCTTCGGCGCTTTGATTAATCGTGATGGTAATGCAACGTGAGTGTACTTTATATCATGAATGGTGCCTGTAGATTGGCAGGAATGGACCAGCGTCGCGCCATGGACGAGAGTGACGGAAGGTTATCCGTGGAAGAACCGCAGCTGCCAGAGCCATGGAGTGTATATGTGCCAGAATACTGCAAGCGATTAGTAAATGATGGTCGGTATCAGCTGGAAGCGTACCTCTGAAGCTGACATATCCAGGGGCGTTTTACGTGATGAAGCAGAAGAGAGTGAAGGGGAGTGAGGATATGACCTAAGCGATGGCAAAGTGTAGGAATGGTCGTTGGTAGCCCAGCTGTTATGTGAGGGGTATGAGAGGTCAGAGTCGTCACCCTCCGCCCACCTCGTGTTTTCATCTGGGACGGGTTCTGGGACCTCGACGAGAGTCTGAAGATGGGAAGGATGTTGTTCGTCGAGCTCTTCATCAGAGTCACGGTAGCCAACGTCGAGTTGAAACTCGAAAACCTGAGGTTCTTCGTCCAGTGGACCTGCATCCTCGCCCATCCAGGTGCTCATTGCCTGACCACCACCCTCGTGCATTGAGAATGGATTGAGGCGAAACACGCCCATCATTTTGCGCATTGCCTTGCTTGCTTGAGTTGCGCGCAAGGGTACTTCTGTTGGGGGAGCCAATGAGGCACTGTCCTGTGCAGCTGGGACAGAGGTAGCGAATTCCATGACAAAGCAATCGGCGCTTGAAACTTCATCTTGTTCGAGCTTCACGGGAGGAGACCTAGATGATGAAGCTCTTGAAGAAGCACGTGCTGAAGGAGATGTGCTGATGACGGTGGGTGGTATGGAATGGGATGGAGTACTTCTGTCATCCATGGTGTATAGAGTTGGACCCCATGAAGAATCGTCGAATTTGAAAGAAGAAGCTGCTGATGGAGAGCGGTGTTGGATTGCTTGGCGTTCAAAGGATGATCCGGATGAAGATGAAGATTGTAAATGACGTTGGGATTGTTCGGTGTAGACGGATTGTGGATAGGGAGTGTGACCGGAACCGGGATGACGGAGATTGAGGCCGTATGATGATGAGGGAGAGGGAGAAGGTAGGACATCATTAGACCAATTATTGAGCAAGTTCACGTTCCAAGTAGAAGAATTTGAGGAATAATCAGGAGGGATTTCATTTTGTGATCTGGACTGATAGTTCCACTGAGGAGGAGCTAAATCATGTAACTGGTAAGACTGCCTGTCCGAGTGTTGAAAACGTCTGTCAGTGAGGATTGGATAATGATCCAACGACATGAGGGGAGTTGGGAGTTTTGAAGAGAGAGAGTTGTGAAGTTGGGTGGAGTATAAGAACGAACGGAAAATGAAGTTTGAAAGAAGAAGAGGGAGGAATGAGATCTGTATACATCAAGAACGGAGGAGCGTATGCAGGGCGCCCAGATCTAAAATCTGGATCGAACTCGTTGCAGAGGCACGACCGAATGGAAGTATCTTGTGTGAAAACTGTCAATACATTCTGGGCAACAAGCCCTCGCCGTGACGGAATTTCATGTATATATAAAATTGAAAAAAATAACATTTTTATAGACCGGAAACTTACCAATTGAATCATATCCCCGGGACTAGCGGTCTAATACGCCTCTTGGTTGCAGAATGTACTCCCTCCTCACCGTCAAGTCGGTATCCATAATAGGAAGTGTTCGTCTTGGGATCCGCATAGTACGAGCGTCTAAAGTAAAATTGCCTAATTGGTAATACTTCTCCGGTGTCCGATGTTTACCGATACTCCTATAGACGCCCAATCTTGTCGAAACACATAAAATCATCAACAAGTTCTGCCCTTTACGTATGCGCGATCTACGTTAAAATTTCGGATCGCGTTCCGAGAGGCACAGGTTGCTATCTGACAATCAACGGAGTGTCAATGTTTCGTGATACCGATACGGTTCAGCGACACTCTTCAGCGCAGATCATCTTTTGAACCAAACCCTGTGACTTGTCACATCGTTATCAATTAGTTGTCACGAGATCTTCGATCTTGGCTCTTTAGCTGTCATCTGATAACTTCTCATAAACTTTTTCTCGAATCAACCCGGTCAT